TTACAAGATTCAGTCGTAGTTATTTTATAATCCAACAAATAGTAATACGTTGGGATTTTAGATTAAGGTGATACTTGGGGATATAGGTAAATACTACTAACATGTTTTGGAATAATGAAAGAGCCAAAGAAAAAGTTCAATGGGTAAAACTAGTATGTGGACATGATAGATTAGCCCGGTCAATTCCTGCGGGCAATTCTTCATTTCGATTCAACAAATATGAGGGACTCGACTTGAAATACAGGGTTATCCTGCGCTGAATTTCAACGGCACACTCGCTGCTTAAGAGCACAGAATCGTGGAGACCGTTGCCGCAGCCAGTCGCTGGCATACAGCACATACATAGAATAAGCAATGACCTGAAGTCCCGGGATAGCAAACAGGTTCTTGTGACAGGTGTGGTAGAGCAAACAATTTCCATCGATGAGGTAGTTTCGAATGATTCCCTCTAGCACCACAAGATCGGGACACGCGACGTTGTAGGCCCATGGACCCGGTTCATCTCGGCAAAAAAACGCAACGACCTCGGAAACTGTCCACTTGGCTGGGTCGTTGTCTTCGGCGTACATGATGATGGGGGAATAAAGCGAGCGAGGTGAAAAGGAGCAATAGGGTCCTAAATAATTAGCGTGTCACTCCAATCATTGGGCATAGACGTGTTTGCGTTACATAGAGTTCCAGATCGAGCACATTCCAGCTCGAACGCAGACGAGAGGGTCGAGGAGAGAAAGGTTGGCGGATGGTGGTTCGCTGTGTTTGCGTTGATGGATCATGATCCTCAAGGCGAAGCTGGGAAAAGCTCGAACACAGACCCGGAGGGTGAGGTGGAAGAGACTGGTGATGCTCCTCAAGGCAAAGACGATTGAGACTCGAACATAGGCCCGAAGGGTGGGACGGAAGAGCGGATGGGGCCATGATAGAGGATTAAGTGGGAAGTGATCGTGGGTGTTGCATTTGGTGGAGGAAATGTAAGTTGAAGAGAGGACGAGAAGAAGAAAACAGAGAGGTGAGAGAAAAGAAACAAGATAAAACAATTTTCATGTCACTTATGTCGACCACTAACTAGTAAAGAGATACAGCTATTACGCGACTCCTTTAGTACCCGACACGCCTCTATTGCAAAAGAGACTCAAGATCTGCAACACGAGTACCTCTATCCTCAGCTTTCTTCTTCGCCGTCTCCCGGAAAGCAGCAAGCATAAGGCCCCTCTTACGCTCTTGGATCGCTAGAACCCGCTCCTCAATACTATCCTCCATAACCAGTCTCCAGACTGTTGTCTCCCGCTTCTGCCCAAGACGATACACCCGATCGACAGCCTGATCCTCGATAGCTGGTGCCCACCAGCTGTCGCACAAGATGACTTGGTTCGCTGCAACGAGGTTGAGACCAACACTGCACACGCTCAGACTTGCGAGGAGGACGGTACACTCAGGGTCGTTGGAGAACGAGTTGATGGAGTTGTCGCGTTTCACAGACTGCATCTTGCCATCTACACGGGCGAACTTGATACCACGCTGCTCAAGGTGTGGTTCGATGAGATTCAGAAACGAGGTCCATTGGCTGAAAACCACGGTCTTTGTGCCTGGTGCCTGGCCCTGAGCAGTCAAGATCTTGACTAAGGTCTCGATCTTGCTGCTGGGACTGTCGGGATCGGCCTCAACGATATTGGTGTCTTCACCCAGTTCCACGGCTGGGGAGACAAGTGTATTGGTTTCTTTGATATCTGCGCGGCAGAGCGGACACTTGTGTTGGCGTTCGATAACCTGCTCGATGCAGCCCCGGCAATAAGAGTGGGCACAGGCGGTTATGACGGGTTGCTCAAGGTTGTCGAGGCAGATGGCACATAGTTCTTGGCTTTCTATCTGGAGCTGTAACATCTCTTGTAGAGCACGGACGTTCTCGGGTGTCAAAGGTACGACTTTGTGTTCTTCTAGCATGCTCATGAGTTTGTCAACGCGGTTCTTGCAGAGCGCCCAGTGATTGCAGACTTGGCGAAGACGGAGAAGAACCTCGAGGAGGTGGGAGTACGTGGTCTTGCCCTCTTTGTCCTTGAAGTCGAGAAGAGCACCTTGGGCCTCGGTCCTGTGATCGTTATTAGCAAATTAATCTTCACTGTGCGGTAGTTGCTTGATACATACTGGAAAGCACTGTACTTCTCCTGTTCATGGGCATTGAACTTGATTCGGATGATGCGAGATGTCATCTCAGGTAGTTTCAAATTGATAAAGCCCATATCCTTTCTACGTCGCAGACAGATGGTGCCCATGAGAGCCTCAAGAAGTAGTCGAGCCTCGGGCTCCCCTGCAGTCAAGGGTCGGATCAAGACACTGTTGAAGATCCTCAAATCTTCCAAGCCACCGGAAAACTTAAGGAAACGGATTTGCGCATACAAGTCTTTCAGAGTGTTGATAATGGGGGTTCCGGTCAGGGTCCAGCGGGAGTCGGCGCGCAATCCGCAAGCCGCAAGGGAGGCCTTGGAGCTAGGATTTCGGATAGTATGGCCTTCGTCAAGTACGACACGACGCCAGTGCAGCGAAAAGATACCCTTAGCAGGCGCCTTGTTGGCATTCGGATTGAAATCCAGAGCCAGGGCTCCATAGCTGGTGATCACAACATCATACTTTGCCAAGTTCGCAGCTTCCTTCTTCCCAGAGCCGTGATAGATCAAAACACTCGGGGCAGTCTCCTTGTGGACATGGTCCTGGATCTGATTTCTCCAGTTGCTCATGACACCAACAGGGGCAATGATCAAAGTGGTCTTAGAGGAGCCTGCAGTGAGAGGCTTTGCATTGGCAAGAATCAAAGAGATAATCTGGATTGTCTTGCCCAAGCCCATATCATCAGCAAGAATGCCACCGCTGGCAAGAGCTGGCTCCGTAGCCGTGGCGTAATTTGTTGCGACATTGAGAAATTCGTTATTTGTCCGTTTCCATAACTGCACAATATCGCCGGAGCCCTTTGCGGGAAGGCTTGGCGATTCTTGCTTGATCATCCAAGCTAGTCCCTGGCGCTGGTATGGAAGTAACTGGGTGGAAAGGCCGGCTGGGGTATCGACCATTGGCATATTGGCCAGGTCAGACTCCTTCTGTCCGAAGGTTTCCACAACCTGGCCAATATCTCGGGGGTTGAAGGTAGAGCTCTGTTTGAGGAGTTCTTCCAAGCTCTCATTTTGCTCACCACCAAGTCCCGTTGGGGTCGTGAGATTCGCATACTCTGAGTCCTGGTTGGCTTGCCATTTTGCTGCAGCTTTGCCAAGAGCCATGGCACGAGCTTTCTTTGCGGCCTCTTTCCGTTGTTTCTCGGCTTCTTTCTCTACCTTGCGTTCCTCGCGCTCCAGCTCGTTGAGTTGGCGAACAGGAAGCTTGTCATTCTGCATTCGTTGTTTCAGATTGGAGCGTTTGGTAGGATCGCGAGTGCCGAAAAGCTTCAAATCAACCGGACAGTTATAATCTCCAATCGCACCAGTCAATGTGCCTTCAATAATAAGATCGCGAGCATCCTTTGATGACGAACGTTAGTAATGTCTTGGAAGCAATATGATGGGAGACCTTTTACCATGTATGACGCCAGCTTGGCTGCCATCTGTCGTGGAATGTGGCCGATCTGGGCTCCCATCACGTTGTTAACCTTGATAGCATTGCTGTCATATTGATTATTGGCATCCCGATTTATGATGACACGCTCATCTGGGTTGGCACGGCCCCTGTAATGGCGCACACCAACGATCTTGGTAGAAACAATGCCTATTTGATATTATTTAGTATAGCTTCTAGAGTATACGTAGGTAAGGAACCGAGATTATTGAAAAGGGCATACCATAGAGGATGGAGCTTGTTAGCGAGGTTTCATCCACCTCCTGAGATCCTTGAATCACATCCAGCGCTTCTTCGTCCTCTTCGTCGGCACCAATTACTTGCGACAGCTGATTCAGTGGAATGAAGTCAGCAGACTCGCCAAATCTTTGGCCTGAGCCAGTATGGTGGTTCAACGGAATGTAGTCGACAGTCTCGCCGAATCTCTGGCCTGAGCTGGCTGTTTCGGGGTTCAAAGTCGGAGCTGTGCGAGTGGATTTTGACGCACGCCCAGACTGCATGTACAAGGCATCTTCGGTAGAACCGAAATCAGCCTTGCGTTTTCCTGCCATCTTTCTCCGGCTTCATTCAGTACATTTGATACAAGCTTTGGCAATGATGAAGATGTGGAGAGATTGTGGACTGTGGGAGAAGTGCAAATGTATCCGGGACTCTATGCTGTTTCTCAACAATATCCTTCTGACTGACAATTTGTCAAAGGCAAAGGACCACTGATGAACAGATAACTGTCATGGTTCACTCTAGAGCAGTCACATTACGCCATATAATTGCCAATTGGGTTTAGCGCCAGACGCGTCAAGACACGGCTACACGTGACCTATAGAAATCCGGTACTTATCACGTGGCACTTATCACGTGGAAGGATATGCTGATAACTCGCCGCTCGCTGAGTGGACGCTCAGTATAGCGTTGAAGAGCGAGCCCCACGGGGGGGTCCTTGACAAGGTTAGTTGATACATGATGCACGATAACAAGCTGATAATTGCGACGAGAGTTTATCAAAAAAAAAAATTCATGGAATGCTTCAAGCTCTCTTCATATACCATCCCATTCATACTGTTGTCAATAGTCTGTACATAACTATTTGTCGTGCGGAGAGACCCCGACGCCTGCGTGGGGTATGTTCCGTCCCCCGGATTTTGTCCGCTCCAAGGTTGTTGAGAGATTCCCATTAATGAATTGACAGCCTTCTTTACCCCTTTCACTACGAAATCATGTCAGTTTCACAGGTCAAAGTGATGCCGTCCTATCAGCCATTTCAATGTCTCGTCTGTCAAAGTCGATTTACTCGACATGAGAACCTCAAACGGCATTCAACGCTACATTCCCGCTCTCAGGCTGAAGCGTCGCTTCCCTGTAACTTTTGCCACGCTACCTTCTCCCGTCCCGACTTGCGCAATCGCCATATGAAGAGAAAACATCCAGAGCATGAGCAACACCGAGTGACAAAGAGGACACAGCGCCAACCAGCACCCAGAGAAGATAGACTGAATTCTTCGGTATCGCCGACAGCGGTCTCGCCTACAGGAAGCAATGATGGTTTACCTTCGCCCGGATCCGTGCATTCCAGCCCAGGAGAGGAAACGAGATTCGATAGTGATGCGGTCTGGCGCCCAGTGATGCGGTATCAGCAGCAGCAGTTTGACCGTGGCCACCCCACGGAAACCCAAAATATTGCTACGCCAAGGACCGGGATAGCCAAGACACAACCAACAAGAGACCTGTTACAACACCAATCGGCGACGAGCGACTCTGCTCTCATCGATCAGATTGTCCAGGATGCCACAGATCTGGAGCGGAGCCTACTATTAGGTACATCCTTTTTGAAGCCCACCAATCACCTTGAAAATCAACTACATCCGATGGCCACTTCACAAGCCGAGACGCTCAATACAAGTCTAACCGAGTACAATTTCAACCACCCGATTTTAGATAGGTTGTCACCAAATGACATACCTCAACTCCAAGACGATTGGGCCCCGACTGCTGTACAAATCTCGCGAGGCTGTAATCTATTTTTCGCCTCAGTCTCTCATTTCCTCCCCTTTCTCCATTCCTCGACTTTTGATCCGACACAAGTTCCCCCGCATTTGGTCCTCAGTATGCTTTGCCTCGCCTATCAATATGGCGAGGACCCAGAATGCGGGGACCAAGAAGGCTCAGGCGAAAGCTTTTCTATACGTTGCTTTCATAAAGCTCGAGCTCTCCTTGCTTCTGATGAAGACAGGCCCGACGCTTCAACAATGATCACCACACTGGTCCAATCATACCTGCTCCTTGAAATCTGTGCCATGATGTACCTCTGTGGCGACAACTCATCATGCGGCCTCAAGATGCATTCGCATATAATCTCCCTAGCTCGCGCTGGAAGAATGACACAGCCAATGACTATTGAGACTGGTGCGACCGCAGATTTGGAGTCTTTATGGCGGGAATTCGTTAAAGCCGAGTCGCACAAACGGACCCTCTTCGCAGTGCATCAGATCGACGCGCTTTGGTACCAATTTCTCTCCATTCCTCGCTCAATCTCACACCTGGAAATCAAGCATGACATGCCTTGTCCAGAAGACCAATGGTCATCATCCTCTGCTGCTGAATGGGCTCATCGACAACTTGTTGCAAGAAATTCCGGCCCCTCGGTCACATACACCGATGCTGTTCGACGCTTCCTTTCTTCTGATGACGATGTCGCCTCAATTTCACCATTTGATCCATACGGTGCCATCAATGTTGCGCAATTTCTGATCTCTAGCGCCCGTGAAATCTCAGGCTGGTCCACGATGACGGGAATGCTCAGTATGGAACGGTTCGGTGCATTAAGATCATCCCTTGTCGCCCTTAACCCGTTCATATGCCCCGGAAATCACATAGCACAAATGAAACAGACGACTTCATGTGCTGCAACTTGGGAGACTGCCATGATTGAGCTGCAGATGTGGTCACCATCCCATACCGGCGGCATTGTAGAAGGAAGCATAGATGCCGTTCTCAGTCAGTCAACATACTTGGGACCGTCACAGTTCCTGTGCGATGCCAACACAGCCAAAGCTATACAACCGCATGTCAACTGGTTCCTACGATATCTCGATAGAACACTCATAATGGACACTGAAGCGCCATGGGTTACTTTGTATGCGTATAAAGCCTTTTTGATTGCCTGGCAGTTAATACATGCCGGCCTACCTGGTTCAATGGATGCCGTGGGTGTCCATGATGGTGATATGGAGGGAGCTCTGATGTGGGCGAGGAAGGTCTTTCAGCGAAGACAGAAATGGCAGATTGGGAAACTCATCTTGTCATGTTTGGATGAGTTAGACAAATGAATGATGGCCTTCTCATGCTATGAATGTTTACGAATATGTGTCTTGCGTTGATATTTTGGCCTCAATTAATTGAATAGTCTCAAATATTTTGGTTAGTCTTTTTAGACCTCTTTTCTAAATGTCTTATGTAAAGGCGGTAAAAAAAGCACCTTTCGATGTATAACCTTTGATATTCCATTGTTATATTGATTTCCCTAAACTAAATTATACCATAACCATGTGACACAAACCCATATACCGATCCCAGCAAGAAACGAGTAAGACAACAAAAAACAACGTAGTCATTGATCAGTACATCTCGTAGCGCCAGTTGAGCTGTACCATTTCCTCTGTGACGCCACCCTTGATCACCTTGGCAATTTCCGCGGGATCGCCCGAGTCCAGACGTCTGTTCTCGCGCAAGATGAGCCAGCGGTATGCAGTGATTGTGATTGCGAACAAGACAGCAGCACCCATAAGCGTACCAAAGGCAGCATAGAAATGGGGCTCTCCAAAGTATAGGTATGAGGCCCAGATGTTGGAAGTACCACCGATGGCATTGACCAGAGCAGAGGCAGCCGCTCGCTTCGAGATGGGTCGTGCAAGGTGCAGGTTGATGGTCTTGTATAGGAGGAGCTGGGGACCGACGGAGGCAAAGGGTAAGATCATCATGGAGAAGTAGCGAGCGCCGACGTTTGTACTCGCCATCGGGATGATGTACATCGGGATTGTGATGGCGATACAGAGGAGGATGATTGGGTAGACAGTATTCTTTCGGTCGGAGTAGAACATGAGGACGTAGTAGACAAGACCAGCGAGGATATAGGGGGGTGCTGTGAGAAGCAAGCTGATGGTGCTGGAGAAGTTGAGCGAAGCAACGAGGGTAGGGAAGTAATTGGCGATGGAGCCCTGTGTTTGGGATAACATGTTGCAAAAGATGAGCAGCACCAGCTTGGGGTCCGAGAGGGCTTTGGCAAACCCTTTCAGTACACCCTCATCCTCTGTGCCCTCTGCAGCACCAGCTTCAGATTCGATACGCCACACGGCGCAGTCACGCTCAATCTGGGTCAGGATACGGCTGTTGTGGGGGAACTCTGGCATGATGCAAGCGCAGATGATGCCGATGCCGACAGTGGCACTGCCCTCGATGATGAATAGCCACCTCCAGCCGCGGATGCCATAGTGCCCATCAAGCTGAAGGATACCTGCGGCGAAGAGACCACCGAAAGCATTACCGACTTGCTGGGCAATGTACAGCCCGGCAATACGCTTTCCTAACTCCCTCTTTGTGTACCAGGCAGAGAGGTAATAGATGGCACCAGGGAAGAAAACGGCTTCGGCGGCTCCGAGAATGGCTCGAATAGCCAGGAGTTGACCATATGTCTCAGCCGCCGCTGTGCAAGCCGAGATACAACCCCAGATCGCCACGGCAGCACATATGTACATGCCTGGCCGGGAGATCTTTGTAATGATGAGGTTGCTGGGGATTTGGAATGGCAAATAGCCGACGAATAGAATGGAGATAGCAGTGGCGAATTGCTCAGTAGACATGTTCAGATCTTCCATGATACCCTGAAGCTTAGCGGCGGAGAGATTTTGGCGATCGACGTAGTTGAGAATGTACAAGATTCCAATGGTAGGGAGAACGAACAGGTCAACCTTTCGGACAACCCTCTTGTTGAGAGCGTTGAAGTCATCGTCGCTGAGTGTGCGAAGAGACTCTGGCATGCGGTTGTAGGCGTCGACTTGTCCTTCTGCCGAAGAGACATTGTCCTCAGCCAGGACAGGATCTTTCTTGTCCATAGGGAAAGACATGGGGAGAGAGTAGTGCCTGTGCTTTTTGCCAAGACCACTGCAAGTATCAACAATGGAGACAATGTTGCACAGAGGGTGTTGCAGGTTGCAGGCTGTGCTTTCGAGACGATACTTGAGCTCCCCCTATATAGCTCAACCTAGACTCTGCATTTGCCGACTTAGCGGAGAGTCATCACAAAGATCCGACGTCGGGAATCGACTAATCACCAGACCTCCTTTTCGAACAATCTCGAGGCATTCATTGGTCGAGATTGGTCGAGATCTGGTCATTCGTAGTTGATAAGTGAGACGTATAGATAGGCCTGGAGATAGGAGCAGAAAGGAGTGCCCAATGGTTATCTGTCCAATTGGAATCGATTACCCCGGACGTAGAGTTTGGTTGAAATCTGGGGTGCATTAAGCTAGGCTTGGGAGGAGCTCTCGCATGTCCCGAGGTCGATAAGAAGTTTTTTGGGAGGTGCAGGTGGGCATTTCTTTCGAAGACAGTCGCTTTCAGTGACCATATAGACAGAATCCACATTTGTGGAGGTAAGTCCCATATAATATCTGAGTCATTCGGGTGGGCCGCTATTAACAACCGCGATAAGGCGATAAGCCACCCCGAAGTTTGCCACTTGTCTGCCCTAACTACATCCAGGAGCTCATCTTTACCATGTCAAAGCTCCTCATTTTAGCTTGGTATTTTTGATCTTCAGTCTAGAGGAATGAGGGGGGGCTAAGGATACGTAAACCAATAAATGATACTTAAACTAGCATCTTATCGACATCTCTTGTCTTCATCTCACTCTCAAACTCCCAACAGACAACTCTAAAAAATCGTCTCTATCTTCTAATACCTCTACCATCACAATGGCTTACCCTACCCCTCTCACAACCTCAATCGATAACTCTCGATTGAGGCTCCTAAACAAGATCAAGGCTGGCGAGTTCCCGCTCATGACCTTCATGGCCATTCCCTCCATTCGCCAGGCCCAAATCGTTGCCCTGACTGGCGTTGATGGTATCATCATTGACTGTGAGCACGGACACATTGGCGACGATGCTATGCACAACTCCGTCTCTGCTATCTCCGCCCTCGGCGTGTCCCCCGTCATCCGCATCCGTGGCCCTGCCCACGATATCCTTAAGCGCGCCCTCGATACCGGTGCCCACGGCATCATGGTTCCTCAGATCAACAATGCCGAAGAGGCTGAACAAATTGTCGCTTCCTCCAAGTTCCCTCCCCAGGGTGTGCGCGGCCAGGGCTCAGCCTTCCCCGCAATTGGCCACGGCCTCACAACCCCCGAGTACATGAAGTCCGCCAACGAGACCATCATCACCATGATTCAAATAGAGACCCGCGCCGGTGTCGAGAACGTCGATGCTATTTGCGCTGTGCCAGGTGTGGATCTTGTCTTCATTGGTCCCAACGATCTTGCCCAGTCTCTGCTTGGATACACACCTGCTCGCGGTGATGAGCCTGAGTTTGTTGCTGCTATTGAGAAGATTATTGCTGCTGCCCGCAAACATGGAAAGTGGGCTGGTCGCATGGTCAACAATGGTACCGCGGCTAAGGAGGCTCGGGGGCTGTACGATACCGTCGCCATCACTGGTGACACCAAGGCGATTCAGAACTGGTACATGGCAGAGTTTGATATTGCTCGCTCATGAGAGGGCAGACGATTTTATGGTTATGATAGACTTTCAAATATAAATTTTAAATAGACAAATCAAAATACTTTACTACTTCACATCAAACGCAACTTTCAATTCGGAGATCCTCCGATCTAGCTATATGTCTTGGCTGGGTATTGGGAAATTAAAAGCCACTAGCCCTCTCCATCCCCAATTTAAATTCCCTTGCTGTTTAATCTAGTTGGACTCAAACGGAGAAAGGCAGTTCATTGATTCGTATATCCCTGATTATACATAGAAAGGTCTCTTACACAGAGCAAGCTTTTTTACCGCCTTCACATACATCTAGAAGACATCCAAAAAGATCAACCAAAAAGATGCCACAAGGTCGCAAACGAGGCCGACTATTCTTGTATTCATTGCTTAAGCTAAACTTCATCCTACCTTAAGAAGCTTGGATGTGACACACAACCCATAATACAAAGTACCTTCAACTCCTATTAGTACATACGCGCTTGATTAATGACATAACTAGTGATATGCCGGTTGACAATTACGTAGTATATTGTTAACTCCGCTCTACATAATATGGCAACTTGACACTCTATTCAAAGGTATTTTAATTTTCGTCTATATTCTAGCCATTTTCATAATATCATAATTTAAGCTTGCGCAATACACTCGATCTCAATGACGGTGCCGTTTCCAGGGGCAACCGCTTGGAGACATGAGCGCGCTGGCATGGGCTGTGGGAGGAAATCGATGTAGACTTCGTTCATAGCGGCAAAATCCTTCATATCGGCGAGGTAGACATTGTACTTGACGACCTGCTCAAGGGAAGAGCCAGAGAGCTCGAGGACCTCCTTCAGGTTTTGCAGAACGGTTCTCTGTGTAAAATCAAAAAGAGTCAGTCAATGCTTGACTACCCGATGACTGTTTGTGCAATTGAACTTACGGTAGCCTGCTTAATCTCTCCTGTGGCAGTTTGGCCTGCGCAAAAGACGAGCCCAGGGACTTTGACGGCAGGGCCTAAATAGCATTGTCAGTAATCTTTCTTTTTTGTAAATTCTCCAAGAGAATGCAAGGTGTTTTGCATGCAGATACTCACAGTTGTGAGGCTTGGTAGGGAACTTCTCGCTCGAGATGAGTTGACGAGACATCTTTGCTGGTAATTTTAAAGAGGATTGGGAATTTTTGATGGTGTAGTAAGTTTGAATTTCAAAAGTACTAGACAGTGAGCTTGTTTAAATTGCTCGAGCTACCCCTCATACCTCTCTATCCGAGGCATCTTGCCAATCAAAAAGAGGGGCAATTCTCATTATCGCGATGGAGGAGCAGTATTTTCTTAGTACTAGTTTATCCGTTATCACTACCCCCCGGGGATGTGGAGGGAGGAGTGGGAGGAGTGGGAGGAGTGAAATGGGAGGAGCACATGAGCTTGGGTAGGTTATTGCGGCCATTCTTCTTAAAAGCCGTATCTATGCATAAAGCCCCGCCTTGTGATTGATATTGACTGTGTGGCCGCAATTATCGCTTATATCTTTCCCCAATCCCCGACAATGCCCGGGTGTAAATCCTCTTCCTATCTGGGTCTAGCGCCAACCTTATCGTTTATGCTTAGGTTCAACGTCCATAGATACGCTTAGGCAGAGGAGCCCTCGAGCTCCCGTTTATGATAACGAAAGATGACAGGGCCAGCTGAAAACATTGGGAAAATGTGGGGAATTGTAACAGGGAGCATCCAACATTACGATTATCACGCCAATATTCAGTGGCGCGCTAGCAGAAGTCGATAGTCCTCCTGCTCTCGGGTGATCTAATCTAACGCAATGAACCATGCCATACTTCCCTCCCCGGATGTCGGATACACAGATAGGGTTCATGTCTCATCATTCGATTGGTATATAAAGATATAGAACTCGATCAGATAATCTTCATTGTATTGTCTTCAGCATCGATTACAACACTGAATATCCTTTGCACATCTATTACCATGGCACGCTCTGCCCCCTTCAATCCTCCTGCAGCTGACCTGCCTGGCAAGCCTTTTGTCCCAACATGGGTTCCCCCGCCGGTCACTCAGCAAAAGGAGAACTTTGCTGAGCTTAGCTCCATTGATCTTTCTTTGTTGGACTCGGATGACCCGGCCGTTGTTGACAAACTTGTCCAGCAGGTTAAGGGCGCCATTCGTGATGATGGATTCCTTTTCCTCGAGAACTACGGAGTTTCCCTAGAGCAGGTAAGTCTTGGTTCTCAGAACATACTTCAAGACCAATCTCGCTAATAACATGTCTCTTTCAATAGCTCCACCGCCAGTTCTCTCTTGCACAATATCTCTACCAAAACATCAGCGAAGAGGACAAGCAACGCCTCCTTTTCGACCCTGAAACTGGTGTTTGGTCCGGTTACAAACACCCTTACGGATTCAAGGTAAGAAAATCTCCCTCTTTCATCAATCAGCTCTCTACTTACTCTTCCTTTTTCCGATTAGCGTGAACGCGGACCCGAAGACGGCATCGAGCAATTCAACTGGTACAAGCCCGACTGGAACGATATCAACCGTGTGCCCACATGCCTTCACCCCTTTATGGACGAAATTGAAGAGTTCTCCAACTATTTGACTAAGTCCGTCAACCGCCGCCTCCTGACCCTCTTCTCCCGCGTTCTCGAGTTGCCCGACGACTATCTCTGGGACAATGTTCAGTCACACGGTTGCCCAACTGGCGAGGGTTACTTCCGCCATGCACTTTTCCGCCCCGTCCAGAAGAAGACCGAAGAGGCATCCAAGGGCCTGCGCATGCACGGTCACACTGACTTCGGTCTGACAACATTGCTTTTCTCTGTCCCCATCTCGTGTCTCCAGATCTGGGGCCGTGATGAAAAGTGGTACTACGTACCCTACAAGCCCGGTGCGCTTGTCATTAACATTGGTGATACCCTGGAGATCGTTTCTGGTGGTCACTTCAAGGCTACTCGTCACCGTGTTTACAAGCCTCCTGTCGATCAATTGAAGGAGGAGCGTCTCTCTCTGGTTCTCTTCAACAGTTCTGTTGGTGATTTGCGCATGGGTCCCGCAACAGGTTAGTAGATTGAGATGAAGGCACATGGGTTGATCACAAGGACCACGCTAACATAAATTTTTATAGATTCTCCTCTTATTCAAAGAGTGGGCTGCGTTGAGGAACAGGGGGTCTACAAGGAGTTCAAGAAACTCACATCCCAAGGCAAACTTGTGCCTACCAACCGTCAATGGCGCGAAATTCAGATTGCTACTGCTACTGATCCTACGGATCAAGAGCGCAACAGAGTTGGTGCCGACCAGGTTCTCATTGATGGCAAGATTATGCACCAACGAGAGTACATGGGTGTCAAGGTTGTCCTGCCCGTTTGAAGGTATGATGGAGGCAATGGTCGGAAGTGTTTCCTGTTTTGATTAAATTACCCCTGGTTTCAGATTGTATGCAAGATCCAGATATATGTAGCGTTTCAATTTGACAGTTTGTTATATTATACACGTACTTCTTATAAAATGTCTAGCCGATTGCCTATGTGCACAGCCTCGATGGACTACCATAAAATACTAATCATTCATAACCTATCCCTGTAGTCATACATAGGAAAGTTCTCTGCACAGCTTATTTTTTTTATCGCCTTTGTATATATACATCTAAGACATCTAAAACAGACCATCTGAAAACAAGAAACTTTAACACGTTGGTATGCTCTTGCATATCCCTAATATTATCTGATACCAAGTACATTGATCAGATTATCAAAGTCTGGCAGAGGCCGTATAAGCAGCCGACTATTCTTTCTCCCCAGAGATTCATAAAAAAGATGACAATTGTATGCTATCCCAAATTGGGATTTGCTCCCGTCTTCGAAGGGAATATTTTTGAAATGAAAATTCCAATCTCAGAGTCTAGCGACCACCGCAAAAGGACTGTATAGAGTATTACCATCTATTGTTTAAGGTATAGAAAGACTAACAGTGCTGTTGAGATTCAAAAATTTGTTAATAAAAAGTTTCTAATTTAAAACTTATTTCAACCCCCCAGCTAAAAGCAGACTCTGGCCCGTCATATACCCAGTCTTCGATAGCATAGTAACAACGTTTGCTGTTTCTTCTGGACTCCCTAGCCGCTTAAGGGGAATACTCTCCACCACTTCGGGGAATGCAGCGGCAGAGGAAAGCATGCCTGTATCACCGATCATAGCTGGGGCGACGTCGTTGACACTAATATTGTATTCTGCCAGTCGGGTTGAGAGGTTCTTCATCATACCGGTAAGACCACCCTTGGAGGCTGCGTAGTCTAGAGTGGAAAATTGAATCAGTAATTGCCTTCAAAAGGTAAAAGGTTAACCTATTAAGGGTAGTGGATTGACTTACGACAGCCGTTAATTCCTCCGCCTTGAGCGGCGATGGAGGACATGAAGATGATCCGTCCCCATTTCTGGGCCTTCATGTGCTCTACCACGCCTTTGACAAGAATGAAGGCAGCACGAAGGTTGATGTTCATGGTGTAATCAAACTCCTCAAGCGAGATATATGACACGTCAGGAATTCGCTTGCCATATCCGGCGTTTGATATAAGAATGTCTGGTCGTTGGCCGTGCTCAATATCAATTTGTTGAAACATGGCCTCGATTTGATCGCTAGACCCAACATCAACCTGGTGGATTGAAATGCGAAGGTTCTGCGTGGCATTTTTGGATTGTATATCGGCAACAATATTGTTCAATGATGTCAAATTGGTCGAGTATGTCAAGGCGAGATGAACTCCATGTTGTGCAAGTTGGTGTGCGCAAGCTGCACCGATTCTGAAGTCGGAGAATTCACGCGAATTAGCTTCATGTCCTTGTATAAACGGTCGGTGTCATGCTCACCCTCCTGATGCGCCGGTGATTACGGCCAATTTACCTCGAATGTCGTTAAATGCCATTTTTGCGATAATAAGAAGTGCAAATATACTGATCCGGCAAAGAACTTAGAGACGACATGGAAGAAGCCCGGGATATTGAACATTGTGGGACCCCAATATTACCCCGCTGGCGTCGGATACTCCCCGTTATCAAACGCCGTCCCTGATAATCAGGCTGCAGGTCCTCGATTGCCACGCATAATTCGGAGTATATTCCATGGAATAAGAAAAGTGGGTAGAGTGGGTTTGTCAATGAAGGAGCTCCTCCCAACGCTTTCAACGGCAAAGATAGATTAACAGGCCTAAAGATAGATAGCGACGAGGCTATTCAAATCCAACCCTATTATCTTTCTGACGTGTCAATTCTGAGTTCTGCATTGATTGTCTAATTTTTTCTCTTTTGCGAAGATAGTCGCGTGCAGGGCTGGTAGTAATGGGAATGCCGTTGGATTGTGGCCTAAGGCATCAGACATCACTGCTTCAAAGCACGTGATGGTATATTCTTTTTTTCGTAACAAACGTCACCCATATGTTCTTATTCATGTTATATATTTCCCAACATAAATTCAATCAAATATTGAGTTCATTCCCAAAGATTACTCAAGGATACTGGCCCATAGAAGACGCTGATTCCCCAAATATCGAGGATTTCTAGCGCATCCTAAAGTTGACAGCGAATTTCCCGTTCCGGTTTAGCGTTCTTTGGGTCTAGTCCTCTGCGTCCTAGTATCGTCATATATATACTTGCATAGGGCGATAAAGACGACTTTATAGATAATTACAGTTTTACTCAGGCCAGCCTGAAATGCAGCTTGGAAACTTGGACTCCTAATAAATGATACATTATGGTAGTTTCCTGAAGGACTACTCCTTCCTTTCCCTTACTTCATGTTCACTATAGCCCATACATAGCTACGTCAGTACATATATGCGATTCCTGCAAGTTTCCTTAGATGTTTACAATATAACGTGCCAGAGGGTCGCTGTCAATCTTTCGGCACGGTATTTGATAGCAGGGGGCGGCCCGGCCTACACTAACTATATTACTACCCAGGAGAACGTTAGAATTGAATATGACGCATGCAATGAGTGATTTGTAGCTATATATCCCAAAAGTCTAGCATATGACAAATTCTTCAAATGGTTGTTCTTTTAGCTTGGTCACAAAAGGGGTCTGCGAAGACTTTTGATGTTCTCCAATGCCATCAATCCCCGCTTTTCCAACAATAGTATACACCTGTTCATCGGTATTCACCTCGGACTTTTTACGAATCACTATTGTTTGTCCCACCCCAGAAGCAACAATTGCAATATCTCCATCTTTGATATTGCCATCCCCGATTCCAAACCCTGTAATCTCTTGGCTATTTACTACCAACAAAGATTTGCCAGCAATTCTTACCAGTATCCCTTGGAAAAGTCCTAATTTCGCCGAGTCTTCTCTACTCAGAAACCCGTAGCTCATCAGGTCTTCAGCAAGGACTTCCAAATCTTTGACGAGGGGATCTTTCCTCGAACGTATATCAGGTCTCCAAAGTTCCAGTGTTGTTCCCAAACTTGATGACCAAAGATGTTCATTCCTAGGGCCCAAACATGCCTCCCAGATTCTCCTGTTCAGTGTTTCGCGACCCCAAACGTGGGCCAATTCTTTTGGGGTAATCTTCGTGATTTGATGGATTGATCTGATTTGGTCGATAAAATCCGAGTCAAACTGAAGGATGGGGTGGCACACGCCCACTTGACGGGTTGAGAGTCGAAGTGTTGATAAACCACCATCTATAGCTGGCAACGGGTGGCCCGTATCTTCATAAAGACATTTTTCAGGCTCTACTCCGACCTGTCTAGGAGGTAAAAGATAGCGGGTGTCCCAATCCTCTGCATCATCCGGTCGAGGTGAGTGCGTAACATCCATAATATCCAGTACCCATGAAGGTGATCCTTCGGTGTTGCAAAACCTGAAATAGGTGAATAGTGTGCTCTCCCTGTCGTGGTTGATCATGAAGGCTGTGGTTTCTAAGCATGACCTGGTCTCTTGATTTCACATAGGTAGGAGGGTATATTTCCCTAATCAAAGGGCACATTCCATAAACCCCATATACACGATCCAAAGGCTCGTGGCATTTTCGACCTTGTGTGTATTTTAGCAACGCTGTTATACCACTGTAGTTTTTGAACATCCCACGAGTGCGTCTTGCAGAGAAAACATTGACAGCTCCCTCCTTCCACAGGTCCTGGAATCTCTGGATGATCTTGTCGAAAGCGCGAATATGCTTGGCTGCTTCAAGGTCTTGGTTGTTGTACGTGTCCTCATCGTCATGGCAACTCTTGATTTTTTCGATAGTATTCGAGATTGTCATGGGCAAAAACTCTGTCAAGGGAGCTGGATCAAATGTGAAATCCCCACACATACAGATAATCTTCTCTCCTGGCAAATGCCATTCTTGGAATGTCCACATTCGATTCCAGTATGGCCTTCTTAGGATATCTGCTATGCCTAGAAAGGCTCGTGCCATCGCTAGCTCTCCTGCTCGTGTGAATTCGACAGAGACTCCGGACAGTTTGGTCAACTTGCTCAAAATTTGAGATGCTGGTGACTCTTTATCCTCGAAATGCTCCATAAGGCCCATGGCCAACACGATATTCGGGTTTGACTCTCCCAGCCAAGCAATGATCTGACTCGCTGTTGAGTATATGTCCCCCATCAGAGGAATTTGAAAGGTCTTTTCGCTGTGATTCTTTTGATCGATGCAGATAGCATCAATCCAAACAACTCGGGCCCTATGAGATTGGCGTAGGTGACGAAGGGCTTCTTCTAGGTTTGGGGTCACAGGAAAAGACTGGCCATTAACAAAGATAGTCCTCTCTTCAGAGCAGTTACCCCAAGTGTACGAAAGAGCCTCAAAATCTGGCGAATCATAAAGTGAGACAATATGAAGGTTGCCACGAATTGGTCTTGTTCTGTCATTGTCAGGGAGGATTGTGAAGAGTCGGATTTCCTCTTGATCTTCATTGAGGGGCATGTCGAATAAAGGCATGTTGACAATAAGTTAGCACACAGTTGACCAACATTGGAACTGAGTATCATCGCGGGGGCTAACCAGAATCACTGAAGACAGAAGCACAGCCTTGTGGTTTATATTGATCGCTCAGCCTTGCACCCCTGTTCCAAGGTTAACTTCGCCACTTGGGCACCCACCGTCCAACATAAAATACCCGATGAACAGCCCTGGAGGCAACGAGTGCTTATTACTTTATTGCTACGAAAGTGATTTTCCCACAAGCACGGGAGCTACATAATATCTTCGAATCGCTCGGCGGCACATATACTTAGAGGTTCATTCCATCAAAGCTTAATTCATTATTTTTTCCCACCACAAGCATCATGTGCATGTCACAGTCAAATCAACCGGACCAGCAAGTGCCCATCAGTCCAGCCTTGGAGAATTCCGAAATCTCCACCGACCCGAAATGTCTATTTTTGACTCCTGAGGCATCAAAATCTAGCGGATCATCTTTGAACTTGAGCACATCCGCCGAGAATTTAATCGGCGAATGCGGAAATAGCCTCGAAGAGAGACTTACGTTGGATCCTATGCCTTTCGTACCTCAACCCCTTGTGAATAATCCATTTGATCAAGCCCCGCAGAACGCGGATGCCGAGTGGAGGAAGAGAAAGCAACGCGGCGAAACAAGCGAGGTGATCGATGAACTTATGAACTACCAGGGAATGCAGGCTGTCAAAGAGACCTTTCTAGCAGTCAAGTCTCACGTTGATATTTGCAAGAAACAAGGACGTGATCCCAAGTTAGATCGATATAACATTGTCTTCCAAGGAAACCCAGGAACAGGTCAGTTGAGCGTTTTACTGCTATTTGCTTTTTGGGTATTGCAAACTAAATGGATATGCCAGGGAAAACAACCGTCGCACGTCTATACGCCAAATTACTACACGAGATCGGGATTTTAGATTGCGATTATGTCAAAGAGACTTCCGGAGTCATTCTGGCTGCTAGAGATACTTTGTACCTCAAACGCAAACTCAAAAGGATGCTTTTCAATGGTGGCGTACTTTTTATCGATGAGGCCTATCAGCTTGTGTCACCCCATGCGGATATACAGGGCAAGCGAGCCCTTGACCTCATTCTCAAGACCATGGAAGACAACATTGGTCGGTTGGTGGTGATATTCACAGGTCATAAAGAAGAGATGGAGGCTTTTTTTGAGCACCAACCTGGTCTCCCTGGTCGAATCCCGTAGGTCGTCGACTTTCCAAACTTCACTGAAGCCGAGCTATGGCATATCCTTTATAGCAACATTGACAGTCAATACCACGGGCAGATGAAGGTCGAGGGTGGCTTCGATGGACTGGCGATGCGTATAGCCATTCAAAGGCTTGCGGAAAGCTCCAATTCAAGGTCCTTTGGGAATACGCGTACTGTTGATAACCTGAGCACCCAGATCTCACGACGACAAAGCCAGCGTTTATGCCAGATGGCAACAAGCAATCCTCAGAATGACCCAGACTACCTGCTCTTTACTCAGGATGACATTATTGGACCTGAACCTTTGAAGGCCGGAAATAACAGCGCAGCAATGACACATTTGCAGAGCCTGGTTGGAATTGATAACGTCAAGAAATACGTCCAGAGCATGGTGCGATTAATGCAGGCAAATTATCAACGAGAGCTGCGTGGGATAAAGCCACGCCGTCTTCCTCTCAATCAGCTGTTTGTTGGGCAGCCAGGAACTGGGAAGACTACTGTTGCCAGACTTTATGGCAGCATTCTTGCAGACTTAGGTATTTTGAGCCGAGGTGATGGTATGTATTTCATTCAATTTTCAATTCTTCTGTGTTTCGCAGAGTCTAATATTCTGTCATAGTGGTTCTCAAAACACCTGCAGATTTCATCGGTGACTGTGTTGGAAAGTCTGAGAGACTTACTCAGAAAATTCTCGACGCATCTGTTGGCAAAGTGCTAGTGATTGATGAGGCCTATATGCTTGACCCTGGCGACCCTGGTAGAGAACAAGATCGATTCAAAACAGGAGTACTTGACACGATCGTTGCCAATATCCAGGGATCGCCTAACGAAGATCGGTGTATTATCATGGTGGGTTATGAAGATCGAATCACGGATATGTTTCACCATGCAAATCCTGGATTACGGCGGCGCTTCAACATAAACAACATGTGTAGGTTTGAAAACTACAACATATCGCAACTTGATCAGATTCTCAGTCTCAAGATGAGGGAACAGGATCTCACTTGTACTCCAGAGGCCAGGAAAGTCGCTCATGATATACTCCAGCGAGCATCCACGCGCCCGAGTTTTGCAAATGCCAGTGAAGTTGAAAGCTGCCTCGCCCAGGCAAAGGCAAATTTTGAGGCTCGCTTAAATTCTCAGGAGCTGGAAGATGTTCTCTTTGACGACACACTCCAAGCACATGACTTTGATAAAGACCTTGATCGAACCAAGCTTGATTGTCGGGATCTGCTTGAAGGGGAAGTGCAAGAAAGTGTTATACAGAAATTCATCAGTTACCAGACCCGATTTCATGCAGCAAAGCAACGTGGTCTGGATGTAGGGTTTTTGGTACCCACAAGATTTATCTTCAAGGGACCCCCAGGAACTGGAAAAAGGACGACTGCTCAAGCCATGGGCCGCTTCTTTTACAATATTGAATTGCTTCCGACGGATGAGGTTCTCCAGTATTCGACAGTTGATTTTGTTGGTGAGTATGTTGGTAGCACCCCACCCAAAACAAGAAAGCTACTTGCCAAAGCGCTTGGCAAAGTTGTTTTTATCGATAATGTCGATCGCCTGGGTGCTGGCCATTACGAAACTGAGGCTGTCAATGAAATTGTCCACTTTCTCAACCAACGAGCCCACGATGGAAAGATTGTGGTTATCCTTGCTGGGGGGAACGCAGAGATCAATAGTTTGTTTTCTAAACATTCTAATCTTGCTGGACCCTTTCCTGAAGAGATGGAGTTCAATGGACTTTCTGCCAAAACCTGCATCTCACTTTTGGATCGAAAACTTCGAAGCAAAGGTATTGATATCGAGCCAACACTTCAATCGGCCGGTATAGATTGTCACGACCTCAAACTAGAGATGCTGTTCGAAAAGATGCAATATCTGTCTGATTGGAGGAATTCTCACGACGGGAATTATCTCGCCAATGAGATACTTGGCAAGTCTCTTGAATCAATGGGCTCCGGCAATGCCCTTTAAGGAATGCAGGTATCTCCAGCCTCCGTGGTTGCATGCGTGGAGGGCGCGTTGAAAGGGAGACAATTTCGGAGTGAGAGGGGCAAGAAACGACACAACAACACTGAAGGACTAGACTCACTTGACCCTCATTCCCGTCATGTGCTCTCCAGTCTATTAAACAAGATGCCTGATATTCCCAACTTCCCCAACATATCATCAGACAACTACTTTGAAGGCTCTTACAAATTCCAGGAGCCCACCCACGCCGAACATGCTCTGGACAACATTTACAAGATGGAAATGATATCTGCCGAGCACGAGAGTATCAAAAGGCTGCCACGGGATGGTGTTCAAGACAGCGACGATGAGGGCGATGATGGCTCATCACCCCGTGAACCTGATACAACAGATGAAGACTGGAGGCTGCTGAAAGCGGCTAAAAAAGCCCAACAGAAAGCGCAGAAAATCAACAACGAGCAAGTCTCCAAGTTCCAAGCCCAGCTCAATGACACCGAAAAGAAAATTACGGAAGGCTTCAATAATGCAACCAATAAAGAAGACCTTGAAATTTACAGGAATAAACTCAGCAAAAAGCTGAGTGAGCTGCGGCAGCGAACAAAAAAGAGTGAAAATATACAAGCGTTGCTTCGTCGGATGGGTCGTTGCCCATATGACTATGAATGGACAAAAGTCGCTGGTGGGTATAGATGCGAAGGAGGAATGCATTTTGTCTCAGATGAATAACTTCCAACTTGACCAGGGCTCTTCTCCTTGGACTCTGTTTTCAGTATTTACTGTTGATATAATAGAAGTGTTGGTGACCGCACATTAGAAGCTAAATTGTGGAGTAGCTTGTCGATCCATCGCCCTTATGTACCGCTCGTGCATATATAGTCAGCTCCAGGGGTCTGGTAAGCAGATTAGTCGTATGTACACCTGCCCAGGTGGGCAGACACTTAAGCACATATTTTCAATTTCAGAAGCCAGTGATTAGAACCTTCCAAGGCTGCGACTGGAAGAATAGAATGATTCCGGGCTTATACCTGATAGAAATCTAGGTATACAGTAATATATAGTGTAGATGATAGATATATATGATTCTAACTATCTAAAATGACAAAATCCTGCAGGCTCAAGGGTTGCCGGGGGCATCTGCAGTGAACATCGATGACTAATCTCAATATGCACTTTTGTATGGTATTCGCAGCCGTAGCGGCCTATGTATTTTCCGGGGCTTCAATAGTTACTCGGTTCTCATCTATGTAATATCACATAGCTTTCGATATATTTGATGCTCCAACGCGAGCGCTAGGTGAAAAGACCACGATTTTCCCCCCAGGAGACCCCACATAATCGTGGTATTTTTTCGTCACCCCGAGTTACTCCGTACTACTGAGGCATTACAGTGGCGCCCCTGTGTACCACATGGCCAATCCCCGCTATAGCTCCTACAGGGATCTGGCCAAAAACTATGAGAGGCGACTGGATACCCTATTAGAACAGGGGTATTTTAAGCCAGTTTTTATTTATCATGTTATCATCCTGAATATTTTGCCTTTGATAGGTCTGGTCATTCCTCGCCGCCGGGGCGGACAATATGTTCGAAAGGGCCTTTTCGTATTCAGCATTGCAATTGCAATCGAAATTTTACAGAACCGACGAGCGATAATCGGAGGAAATGGCTATATGCTTGGGCTGATTACCGCGTGGTGGTTAGTATGGACTACCACGTTGTTTGTGTTTACAGACCTTGAACATGATTTCAAGCGCATTGAACGGAAACCTGTCGATACCAAGTCTGAAAATGACTCCGAGATTGAATCAAGTGCTGTCAGAAAGTCGCTGGACTCGCATAATCCAACATGCACAAAACGGAACAGCAACCTTTATATTTGGAGGTCATATCCCGAGAAGTTTTGGCATCGCCTTGAATGGTCCGCTGGACTGCTCTTCAACCTGAGGGGACCAGAATGGAACTGGCGGGCTTCCCATCTTGGTCCTCTCCCACGACCAATTCACGACCAATTACATTCGGGATTTGTAGACAGAATCAACGCACATGAACCATCCACATATCCCAGCGGCAAATACCGCCTGCGGGTTGCCTTTCGGAAGTTCTTCATATCTTACCTTGTGCTGGACATCTTGAAAGTCATAATTTTGATGCCAGATCCCTACTTTCGAGGCCTCACTCCAGCCGAATCACTGTCACCCTTTCCTTTCTTCTACTTCACAAATCTTACATTGCATCCTATCATAGCCCAGCTATGCCATCGTTTATACAGCGCTATAAGTGTGTATTTTGCTCTTGAGTTCGTGACATCACTGAATCCAATCTTCTTCCTGGGGCTATCTCTTGCATTCCCCAACGAGGCTAAGAAGTTGACTGCTGCACCGTTGGGTGCTTCATGGCTGTATTCTGATACGTTCGGGCCATTCTTCACCCCAGTCCTTGATGAAGGATTGGCGGGCTGCTGGGGTCGTTGGTGGCACCAAATTTTCCGCTACGGATTTGTAGCTTCAGCGCGGTGGATCTTATCCGTGCTTCCGGCCGGTTTGGCTTCTCATCTACAGGTCCGTCGTGTCACTTATGTGATGGTGGCTTTCTGTCTTAGCGGCTTTGTGCATGCCTGTGGAAGCATCACCCAGATTGAAGATACGTCCCCTGTTTCCGGAACATTCCTATTTTTTGCTTTGCAGGGTGTTGCAATCATAGCAGAGCAATTTTTCAAGACATCGATCCTTCCAAAATTGCCCTTTACTGGTACGCCGAGATGGTTGAGACGAACGGCAAACTTTGTGTTTGTATTTTGTTGGTTGATGGTCTCAGGTGGTCTCGTCGCAGATGACTTTGCGAGGGGTGGCTTATGGTTGATGGAGCCTGTTCCAATTAGTCCACTTCGCGCATTGGGATTTGGGCTACAGGGCCAAGGTTGGTGGTGCTGGAATGAGCCCTGGTTCCGGTACTGGAGCGATGGTACATACTGGGGGAGTGGCATACGAGTGTTATAGAATTGATCCAGATACTCAGGTTACTTTCGAAATCCTTGAAGTCATCGATTGCATGTGCACGAAATAAATTATATGATCGACCGTTTGTAAGATATACTTATAATTACATCGTCTATCCTTCCATTGTGACATCGTCATCCTCTTCATCGGTGTCAGAATCGATATTCAAAGTGGGCAATTCATCATCGCTGTCATCAGCAGCGTCCTCTGAAGCCTGCAAGGTCAGGGCCGCAGATGCAGTGGACACCTGGGTCGAAAGCTTTGGGGCCTCGGTCTTGGTGATTGCAGGAGCTGATTGAGAGAAAGGCTGTTGGCTCGAGGGTGTTGGGATAATTTCGTCGAATCGCGCCTTCTTGGTCTGAACATCCTGCTTCTGCGGTGTTGGCTCCTCGGCTGTGGGTTCCTCGGTGTAGGTGCGCTTGTGGAAAGTAGGCACCGGAGTTGTGGCCTTCGAATGGTCGGACTTCGGTACTTGCAGGGGCACCGACACAGGTTGCTTCAGGAATTCGGCAGTCTTTGGGGCGGCGTTGTATGAATCATCGGCCATGTCCTCGTCTTCTGCTTCTTCGTCTTCATCGACATAGGCGTCAAGCTCGGGTGCGGTCATCAGGACAGGCATCCTGGGGCGAACCAGAGCCTCCACCTCCATCTGATCAGCATAAGGCCTAGTCAAGAATGGAATGATGCTCGAGCCTGCTCCACGGCCCTTGACTGCCGGGACAGGATTGAGTACGCTAGCAAGCATCGCATCCTTGTCGGATGTCAAAATGATGGAGCGGTCCATTTCAGCCCTGATGGAGGGCGGAACAAGCTCGGCGGGGATGGAAATGAACACAGCCTGCAAAAGCCCGGATGCATTTTGCTGAACGTCCAATAACGGAGAGGCCGCTTGCGCCTGGCGGGATTTTTGAAGATCAGGATTGAAAAAGGCGTCCGCATTGGCTGTTCCTGGTCCGCCCTTTGACTTTGCCTTAGAGTCAGAGCCCGGATTTCCTGCGGAGCTAGAATCTCCAGTCGACGGCAATAGATCATTGCAGCAAGAGCGCAAGACATTCGTCAAAGACACCACGCTCTGTTTCGTCATCGCAGGTCCGTTCACCGGCACCAAAGAACGAAGCAAAGCATAGACTGCCGAACGCAGGTCTCTATTGAACCGTTCGCCCTTGAAAGTCCACACGGCCTGTTCTAGAATAGTCTGCGTTACCGAGGTTGCGCTGGTCTCTAAGATACCGACAACGTTGGAAAGCAAGTCCATGCATGCAATGTGAATGCGAGGCAGCTCCATCCAAAGTCCCTCTCGCTCGTCACGGCTAATCTCCTGGTTGAACTGAATGCCAGATTGAGACGATGCGGCGCCATTGGGCGGAACAGTGACAGAAGTAAGTCGGGAGGTTAGATCGAGAATAGAGCCCATTGGAAGCGCAACTGCAGCTGCGGATGGCATCGAGATGAAACCAGAGAGAATCTGCAGAAGTGCAATAAGCCTATCCACTCCAGAGTGCAGCCCGCTCCAGCCTGGAAGGCCAAGACCATCCGGGCCCCCGTCACCCATTTCTTGGCTATAGTTTGGCCGTGTGTGCACCAGAGTCGCATCGACAGACTCCCACTGCTCTACAACCGCTCGGAAGACGTGGTCGGTGGTTCGGTGGATGGACAAAATCGTCGACTTGCAATCATCTTTCCATCCAGAACCCGCCTGATCCTTGGGTGCGCACTTGTGGAGAGAGACAAGCAGTTGCTCAGCTGCGTCGATCACATGCTCCGGGAAGTACGCAGGCGAAGAAGAGCCAATTACTTCGGTGAGAAGGGTTCGGAGCTGAGCACCAAAGGGACGGAAGAGGGTAATATGTCTTGGGATCAATTCCAGCAAGGCGTGCAGGACAATTTCCATGAATGGGGTGTTGGGCTTCGGCTTTCGGGTTGAGCCCGAGGGAGTCTTCGTGATGGTAGAGACCAAGTTCAAGGCGGCCGTAATGAATCCCGGAAGCTGCGGGGTTGTGATCTCTCGGACAAGTGTTGGGTACTGGTATGTGAGGTGGAAAATACGAGTTAGTGTGATAATACACATCTTTCTCGTGGAGATTGGATCAGGTTTCTAAAAATGCATAAGTCAATGGAGCCAACATGGATAACGGGGCTCAAATTAAGTCATACCGCGAGGATGCTGATCAAGCTGCGAACGATAGGCTCATAGCCGCGCAGGATTTCCCATTGACCAGCTTCGACTGTAGCTTTCACCAGAACAACGGCGGTCCATCTTGCCTCAACACTGCGGTCCTGCAATAGACTCGCCAGTCTAGTCTTCAGTTTATGAATTTGAACAGCATTATCAGAGTCCGATTTGCCAGATTTCTGGGTTTGAGGGGTAGAGAGCAGCTCAGCGCAATCGCTCAATGAAGTCGCAAGGAACGAAGCTATCGAGGGTAATTGCTCGACTGGGGTGGTTATCAGGCGATGCGTGACGGCGCGCAAAGTAGTGGAGGACATGGCGACTGGAACAGACCTATATAACAGGTCTCGACTCAAAAATCAGTCCAATTAATAGAAAAATGAGTGTAGACCAAAGGTGAGAGTCTTATCGATAACTTTTTTTTTCATCAAAAAGCTCGGACCAACATGAACTGTCGTTAAATTACCGTCACGTACGTAATCCCTCTCCACCCCTGGACGATCATCGGGCTTCAGCCTGACGACCTCGGGATGTTAGCGAAGCTTGGTTGCTCTTCTCCCTTTTTATATCATTCACAACTCTCCTGAATCATGGCTGTAAGTGTTCATCTTGCGGCTCCTCCAATATGCGCTGGTTTATATTTCTTCTAAACCATTGATACCACCCAGTATTTATGTTGACACGTGCGAACCAGGGAGGCAATGCCGAGAAAGGGCAGGCCTACATTGCGGCCTTGGACCAAGCGCGGAGTCAGGGAAAATGGGATGAGCTTTCCGAATTGATTCGAAAAGTCACAAAACACGCACCGCAAAGGACTTGTACGCCACCAGCCCCTAGTCTCTTGATCTCATCCTAACCGAGCTGTCTCTAGGCCTAATACAGACCGCAACAGCGGAATCGCGTGTGATTGCGTATCTTCAACAAAAGTCCTCCGGCGATTCATCTTCTTCCTTACCGAATCTTGCCGAGCTGATTCCAGCCCTGTTGACGACAATTGAGAACAATGACGGATCACCACAAGAATTATTTCAAGCGCAGGTCTGTTTGGGGTGGATACATTGGGCTTTGGATGAGCCAGGACTTTCGGCAGCACGTCTCCCTAATGATTTCGCGACAACACTCGATAGCCTGGTAAGTGGAGGAGAGCAGCCTACTTCGTGGACCGAAGTCTGTTTGGTGAAGGGATGCTATATGAAGGGTATGTTTACTTGTTTACTTCCGGATACATCTAGTTCTGGATCTGACAGCAACCTAGCAACCGCACAATCCACCGCTACCGACATAAATGAGACACTGGAGACATTTGCATCGCTAATTCCGTGGCTAAGTGGCGGCAAATTAGCCTCAATCACCACCCCGCAATTCCTGAACTGGTCCGAGTCACTTCTGGGCAATGGTGCTCTTTTGGCCAGCAATGAAGTGACCAAAAACCCACCCTATTCGGATCCCGGGCATGCAGATATTGCCTTGCAATTGCTCAGGCTGTGGGCGGCTCATCCTGCGGTGAAACAGGGGGGCTCTGCTAACAACCCATCGAATGTGGATTTATTCGGCCTGGCTCCCCGAGCATCAGTATGGGCTGCTTATTATAGGTTTCTCACAGCAGTCCTACGGGGCGGGCTTACATACCCGGGCTCCAATGATGGACCGGACCGCCCGCAACTCTGCAGTGAATTGCGCCGCGTAGAGACTATCTACGAACGCAATTTTCTCTCCGAAGTCATGTTTCCTACAGCCAGTTCGCAGAACTCCCAAATCGAGGAATGGGTGGAGCAGGTGATCAGTAACTGGCAAGTCTTGTGTGGTCCCGAGTGGCAGGATTCGGACATCGGCGAAGGAGGCCAGAATGCGGTTGGTCGTGATGTTTTAGAGGTGAGTCCAACAACAGATCCCATCAAATCACATGTACTAACAATTGTTGTCCTAGATTCTGTACCGGGCGGCGGCAAAGACCTACCACTCTCATTTGGTACTCCGACGTCTCTTCCATGTTCATTCTGCTTTAGCAGACTTTGACCTCGCTGTGAAGGCGCTCGATTCCTACATCGAAATTGTCACTGCAGCCAAAGAAAGGGCAGAGAAGTCTGCCGAGTCCGGGGAGCTGGAAAAGGATGAAGTATTCCTGCAGACGCTCTCTGAAGGAGTCACATTATTGAGCTGTCTTGGCTCGTTGGAAGAGGCAGAAAAGGCCCGAGATCTGACTGAAATGATGAGAGAGTATATTGACAAGCATAATACGCCTCCCACAAACGGTCAGGTCAATGGCAATTCTACTAACTTGCCAAATATCCCTCCCTCCGTTCTGGCTTCCTCCTACCGAGCCATCGGTGTTGGACTTGCATGCTGGGCAAGCTGGACTCCCGTGAATGAATCACGCGATGAAATCAGAGCTGATGCGATTGAATACCTCGAAAAGAGTCTTGCTCCGGAATTGGGAAGTAGCTTAAGCTATTCCTCACTTTACACCCTAGGCCTTGTCTTGGCGGAGAACAGAGATTTGGACACTGCAATTGACTATGTCAAGTCAGCTCTGACACCAAGCAGCTCGTCTACTGCGGTATCTGATGATCTTTCCAAAGAACGTGACTTGGTATCTATGTGGCATCTGCTTGCACTGCTGCTGAGTGCGAAGCAAGAATTCGAGATTGCTGGGCGGTCATGTGAGGCTGCATTCGAGCAGTTTCCCCGAGAATTATTCTCGAAGAGTCATCGCGAACGGCGTTCATCGAGGAATCCGCAAAACCCCAACCAGCGCCCTGTTGTCAGCAGATTGCAAGGCAGAGAAAAAGAACGCATCGTCCAAACCCGCATTACACAGCTTGCGTTCATC